AGTTGGGTTGGATATAGTTACATTAATTTGTAAACACTTTGTTTTCTTTGGCTAGGTGTACTTTCCTCATAAACTTGCCTTTCTTTCACTGACATTTATCTTCACCATGAAAATGTCTCTGACGAAACTCTATTGTTTCTCTCATACCTTTTTTTCCCAGTCTATTATTTTACTTTAGTGATTGCCACCTCATTTTAGAACAAGTCTATAATCCTTTTACATGCATGTCATAAAACACGAAAAAAGGCAATACATAGTTTTACTTTCTTTGGTAGCACTACTTCTGTAGCATTGGAGTGCTATTGCTTTGTTTTTTCAGGAAGGAATTTGTGGGAAGAATCTGTACTTCCAACTCTTTCCTCTATAATTGAACAATATTAATGTGTCTGTGTTATTTCCCCAAGAATTTCTTCCACTTACTTTCCACAAAATGTTCCCACTATTTTGAAAATAAGAGTTGTTTTTAAGTTCCCAGGAGCTCATTGCAACTTGATATAAACTGTATTACGTTTGGCAAGTATTGCTTCCAGCTTGTTATTGAGTTCGGAATGATCCTTAGTCTCACTGCTGACAACATTTCTTATATTTATAACCTATGTAGTTGGTGTGGTGGTTTAAAATAGATGTTTACACATTTTTTGATATAATTTCCTTCGAAAAGTAATTTCCCTTTCCTTGATTGTGGGCTGCATTTAGTGACCCACTTCCAACAAATAGAATTAAGTAGAAGTGAAAATGTATAACTTCTGAGACTAGGTCATAAAAGGTACTGTGGCCTCCTCCTTTCCATCTCTTGAATTACTCACTTTGGGAGAAAATAGCTGACATGTGAGAACACTCAAGCAACTTCATGGAGAGGCAAGAACTGAAGCCTTATTCCAATGACCAGCACTAACTTGACAAGGTATGAATAAATCACCTTGGAAAGTATAATCTCTTGCTTTCGTCAGCCTTTAGATGAAAACAACCTGGTCAGTATCTTGACTGCAACTTCTGGGGAGACATTGAGCCATCACTACTCAGCTAAGCTGTTCCAAACTTCCTTAACCACAGAAACTGTGAGATAATCAATATCTGTTGTTTTAAATAACTAATTTGTAAGGTCATTTGTTATATAACAATAAATAATTAATGGAGTCAATGTCTGGATGGATGATTGGTGACCTGCATAAAGCCCCTATTTTATTGAAAGTCATGATAAATATTTTAAGTGAGAAAACGTGGTTAACAAATGATATAATATGTTATGATAACACTGCCAACAAATATTAACACTACTATTACTCTTATCATTAAATTTATTGCCACCACCACCTCTACTACTATAGGCATAGGTATATTTGTTTGTGTGTATTTATATGTTTATAAGAATGCACCAAAATGATAACAATGAGTATTTCCAGGTTGTGGGATAATGATTGTCTTCTTTTTTCCTCTTTGCTCTTCTGCATGTCCTCTATATTTTCTGTAATCATGTATTTATTCAACTAATATATTTTGAGCAACTATTATGTTTTAGACACTGGAAATATGTTTTTCTAGAACATAGAAAAACATTTTCTAGATGTTGGGAATACAGCTGTGACAGAAATAGATAATTTCAAGCCCACATTTACTTAGACATATGAATACTATGTATATTATTTCATATGATAATAAGTGCTAAGGGAAAAAAATAAATGTGGGAAGGAGAATGGAGAGTGGCGTTGCTATTTTTTAAATGTTGGACAGAAAAGACTTACTTGGGAAGGCAGTAATTCAAAAATACATGAGAAGATGTGTGGAAAAGCCATGAAGATTTCTTGGGCAACAGCATTCCAGCAAGGCAATTAAAAGATGTTTGAGTTGGATGTGTACCTAACATGGTCAATGGATAGTTGGAAGGCCTATGTGGCTGTAACAAATTGAGTGAGGATTAGAGTAGTAGAGGATCAGGTCAGAGATGTTAATGTGTGCCAAATCACACCGTACAATCTGGGTCAGTAAATATTTATTAGTTTTACTATTAAAAAGAGACACTATGAATAATTAAAAAGAAATTATTAAAACAAAAATCCTTAAACTCTTGAAAAAAATATTGTACAAGAATATAAATATTTTCATCCAGTGAAGTGATATCACCAAAATTATTACAAAAGACTTTTGTCAAGTGCAATATCCCAAAGTTGAGGAAATGTAAGAAACATTATCAAATTATATTGGATCAAATTAACTCATTATATTAATATGGTTTTCTCATCTATTGGCTATTTTAATACAAATAAAATCTAAATTAAAAGCTAAGATTGGGCTCCAGCACTCAGACTGGATTTTTCAATACGTTAATAATAAACAATGTCTCCATCTATAAAAATCTTATCTCTAAACCCTTCATTAAAAAAATTCAATTTTCAAAATAAAAGCGATTGTTTCTAGTTTTAAAAAATCTTGCTGATCCAACAGAATATTCCAAATTTTAGCTTGAATTAATTTTACCAACAGAGATGGTAAAGACTGAGAGCTAGAAATTAAAACAAACATTTCTACTTGGAGAAACTATTAATAAATTTTAAATTGTGAGGATAACTCAGAACATTATCTTGAAAAAGTGCAAAAGTTTATCAGTCGCCTAAATGAAATGACCATCATTCAGTAAGGGTTACAATATGTCCTAGATTAGTGAATCAATATAGTAACTTTTCTCTCTTTCGTTTAACTTTCTTTACATTTGTTTATAGGGAAAAAGGAGAGAGATGGGGCAATGGCAAGAGGCATTTGGGGAATTCTCATAAAAAATACACACTTTACTTCATAAAACTATAAACAGAACTACTATATGATCAAACAATTCTGCTACTGAGTATGTATCTTAAAGAAAGAAAATCAGTGTATTAAAAATATATTTGCACTCCCATTTTTATTGCAGCATTATTTATAATCACCAAAACATGGAATCAACCTGTTTCCATAAATGGATGAATAGATTAACAAATTGTGTTATATACACAATGAAATATTATTCAGCCTTTAGAAAGAAGGAAATCCTGTCATCAGCAACAACATGGACGGAACTGGAGGTCATTAAGGTCAGTAAAATAAGTCAGGCCTAGAAAGGCAAATATTGCACGCTCTCACTCTTAAGAACTCTAAAAGGGGACCTCATGGAGATGGAGAGTAGAATGATGATTACCAGAAGCTGGAAAGAGAAAGGGGGAGGTGGAAACGAAGAGAAGTTGGTTAATGGGTACAAAAATATAGTTAGACAGAAGGAATAAGTTCTGATACTCAAAAGTACAATCGGAAACTTATAGTTAACAATAATGTATTGTATATTTCAAAATAGCTGGAAGACAAGAATTGTAATGGTTCCAACACAAAGAAAAGATAAATGTTTGAGGTGATGGGCATCCCAATTACCCTGAGTGATCATTACACATTTATACAGGTACCAAATATCACAAACTCCAAGAATATATATACCTTTGATATATCAATTTAAAAATATGAAAAAATACACACTGACTTCAGAAATAAACATTGAATAAAGGGCACACTCTAGGCAAGAATTATGTATATTTAGATAATATGTGTATTTACTCCCTGCTCTGTTCTAAGCCTATGAAAAAAAGTAGGTTAATAAGAAAACATAACCTTTGACTTTTTCTTTGTGACATCCCTTATTCCTACATGTACACAGCTTATTACTGTTGAATAAAATCTCACAATCCTGAAGACTGGTACATCTATAAATTCATGGTCTCCAACTTCATCAGGGTCTTCAAAGTCTGTTGACAGTCCTTTTCCTCACCCTTGATCAGCTCCCATTCACATTCTTCTCATCAAATACATATCTTCAGAACTCAATGCAAGCTCTCTATCCCTTTCTCATGGTATTTAAGTTCTGTTCAATTCAATGTGTGCTTAGCACTTACTATGTCAGTCAATGTGTTAGGCCCTGAAGATACAAAGACAAATGTGATGGCCCAACCCTAAGCAATCCTATGATTAGTGGTGATCAAACTTTTCTGTCTTAAGAGTCCTTTACACTCTTAAAAATTATTGAGAATCCCAAAATTATTTTTGTTTATCTTCATTGTATCTATTGAAATTTGCCACATTCAAAGTTAAAACTGAGAAACTTTGGCCGGGCGCGGTGGCTCAAGCCTGTAATCCCAGCACTTTGGGAGGCCGAGACGGGCGAATCACGAGGTCAGGAGATCGAGACCATCCTGGCTAACACGGTAAAACCCCGTCTCTACTAAAAAAATACAAAAAACTAGCCGGGCGAGGTGGCAGGCGCCTGTAGTCCCAGCTACTCGGGTGGCTGAGGCAGGAGGATGGCGTAAACCCGGGAGGTGGAGCTTGCAGTGAGCTGAGATCCGGCCACTGCACTCCAGCCTGGACAACAGAGCCAGACTCCGTCTCAAAAAAAAAAAAAAAAAAAAAGAGAAACTTTTACAATACTAATTTATTGATTTATTTTAAATGCCAATAATAAGCCCACTATATATTGACATTATTAACATATATTTTCTTAAAAATTGTGATATTTTTATAAAAGAGATAATGAGAAGAGTAGAATTATTTTACATTTTTGAAAATTTATTTAATATCTATCTTAATAAATAGAAGAAGTGGATTGTCATAACTACTTCATTCAATCTGTTGTGATATGTTATTTGATTGACATATACGAAAACATTTCAGCCTCACACAGGTACATTGTTGAAAAGGGAGGATCTTGTAAACTTTCTAAAATTGTTTTAGGGACTCCGAGGGTCTTTGAATCACACTTCAAAAACCTCTGGTTTAGGGAGTGAGATATTTACATAGATTATTTCAATGTGCTGTGCCCAGTGCAATTATAGGTATATACACAGATTGCTGTTGGAGCACTTCTGTTCTTACCTCATCAATAAAATCTAGGCAACCAAATGTGAACCATTACACTACCACCGGGGCTGTGCTCTCTGGCTGCCACCACCACCCCTCCCTCACCTTCACCTCTGCCTCCAGTGCACATTAAAGATCCAAAGTCATGACTGACTCCAAGTATTTCACAACCAATAAAAAAGGAGAAATATTTGAACTAAAAGCTGAACTCAACAATGAAAAGAAAGAAAAGAGAAAGGAGGCTGCGAAGAAAGTGATTGCTGTTGCAACTGTGGGGAAGGATGCTAGTTCTGTCTTTCCAGACATAATGAACTGTATGCAGACTGGCAATCTGGAACTAAAGAACCTTGTGTATCTCTATTTGATGAACTATGCCAAGAGTCAGCCAGGCATGGCCATCATGGCTGTAAACAGTTTCATAAAGGACTGTGAAGATCCTAGTCCTTTGATTAGAGCCTTGGCAGTCAAAACCATGGGGTGCATCCGGGTAGACAAAATTACAGAATATCTCTGTGAGCCCCTCCTCAAGTGGTTGGAGGATGAGGATTCCTATGTTCGGAAAACAGCAGCAGTATGCGTGGCAAAGCTCCATGATATCAACGCCCAAATGGTGGAAGATCAGGGGTTTTTGGATTCTCTATGAGGTCTTATAGCAGATTCAAATCTAATGGTGGTGGCTAATGCTGTAGCAGCATTATCTGAAATCAGTGAGTCTCAACCAAACAGCAACTTACTCAATCTGAACACACAGAACATTAATAAGCTGCTGAAAGCCCTGAATGAGTGCACTGAAGGGGCCAGATTTCATCCTGGACTGCTTGTCTAATTACAACCCTAAAGATGATCGGGAGGCTCAGAGCATCTGTGAGCGGGTAACTCCCCAGCTATCCCATGCCAACTCAGCAGTGGTGCTTTCAGCAGTAAAAGTCCTAATGAAGTTTCTAGAATTGTTACCTAAGGATTCTGACTACTACAATATGCTGCTGAAGAAGTTAGCCCCTCCACTTGTCATTTTGCTGTCCGGGGAGTCAGAAGTGCAGTATGTCTCCCTGAGGAACATCAACATAATTGTCCAGAAAAGTCCTGAAATCTTGAAGCAGGAAATCAAAGTCTTCTTTGTGAAGTACAATGATCCCATCTATGTTAAACTAGAGAAGCTGGACATCAGGATTCATTTGGCATCACAAGCCAACATCACTCAAATTCTGGCAGAACTGAAGGAACATGCCACAGTGGTGAATGTTGACTTTGTTCAAAAAGCTGTGCAGGCCATTGGACGGTGTGCCATCAAGATGGAGCAATCTGCAGCGTGCTGTGTAAGCACATTGCTTGATCTAATCCAGACCAAAGTGAATTATGTGGTCCAAGAAATGATTGTTGTCATCAGGGACATCTTCCGCAAATATTCTAACAAGTGTGAAAGTATCATTGCCACTCTATGTGAGAACTTAGACTCACTGGATGAGCCAGATGCTCGAGAGGCTATGATTTGGATTGTGGGAGAATATGCTGAAAGAATTAACAATGCAGATGAGTTACTAGAAAGCTTCCTGGAGGGTTTTCAAGATGAAAGCACCCAGGTGCAGCTCACTCTGCTTACTGCCATAGTGAAGCTGTTTCTCAAGAAACCACCAGAAACACAGGAGCTAGTCCAGCAGGTGTTGACTTTGACAACACAGGATTCTGATAATCCTGACCTTCAAGACCAGGGCTATATTTATTGGGATCTTCTCTCAACTGACCCTGTCACAGCTAAATAAGTAGTCTTGTCTGAGAAGCCATGGATCTCTGAAGACGGAATTTATTGAGCCAACTGTGTTGGATGAACTAATCTGCCACATTGGTTCTTTGGCCTCTGTGTATCACAAGCCTTCCAATGCTTTTGTGGAAGGAAGTCATGGAATCCATCATAAACACTTGCCAATTCATCATGGGAGCACTGATGCAGGGGACAGCCTTGTTGGCACCACTACTGCAACGAACCTGGAACAGCCTATGGTTATCCCCTCTCAAGGTGATCTTCTGGGGAGTCTTTTAAACAGGTGGCTATGAAAAACAATATCGATGTATTCTACTTCAGCTGCCTCAGCCCACTCAATGTGCTGTTTGTAGAAGATGGCAAAATGGAGCACCAAGTCTTCCTTGCAACATGGAAGAATATTCGCAATGAAAATGAACTTCAATTTCAGATTAAGGAATGACATTTAAATGCTGACACTTTCCAGCAAGTTGCAAAACAATCATGTTTAGACTATTGCCAAGAGGAATATGGAAGGTCAGGACATTGTGTACCAATCCCTGAAGTTCACTAATGGCATTTGGATTTTGGCCAAGCTACATATCCAGCCAGGAAACCCCAGTTATACGCTGTCACTGAAGTGTAGAGCTCCTGAAGTTTCTCAATACATCTATCAGGTCTACGACAGCATTTTGAAAAACTAACAAGACTGGTCCAGTAACCTCCAATCATGCTGTGATCAGTGCAAGGCAAGAACTCTTAACTGGAAGAAACTGTATTGCTGTGTAGAATCTGAACCCAAACACGCTGAGGGCACCCTGCAAGGTAGTAATTAGTCTAACCTGTACTAACATTAAGGCACAACCTGTTGGATAGTTTTAGCTTCCTGTGAACATTTGTAACCACTGCTTCCGTCACCTCCCACCTCTTGCCACCTGCTGCTGCTATCTGTCCTTATTTATGGGCTTCTCCATGCTGTGCCAACGGCTGGCTTTTTCTACACCCTTTTTTGAGTATAGTTTGGTATTTTGTAATTGAGAGCTCATTTCAAAAGCAGAAAAAGACAACAAATATTAAAGCAAGGAAAAGTGTCATTAAAAAAAAAACAAAAAACTTTCTCATCTTCCAAAGCAAAACACCTACAAAGGTGTCCCTACTCACACCCCCAAAACATCTTATTTCTCCAATCTCAGAAGATGAGGTGGATTGGCTGCTTTTTATCTATTTCTATTTAGTTTTAGTTGACAAATCACATCTGTATTTATATTTATGTGATATAATGTAATCTTTTGTTGTATGTATACATTGCGGAATTACTAGATCAAACTAATTAACATATCCATCACCTCAAATACTTACTTTTTTTTTTTTTTTTTCCTGAGACAGAGTCTCGCTCTATTTCCTAAGTCAGAGTGCAGGTGTGGGATCATAGCTCACTACAACCTCAAACTCCTGGGCTAAAGCAATCCTCCTGCTTTAGCCTCCAGAGTAACTAAGACTACAGGTGTATGCCACCATGCCTGGCTTATTTTGAATGTTTTTGTATAAAATGGGTGTAGCTATGCTGACCAAATGGATCTCAAATTCCTAACCTCAAACGATTGAATAATCCTCAATTGATTGCTCGTCATCCCAAAGCATTAGGACTAAAGGCATGAGTCACTGTAACTGACCCAAATACTTCTAATTTTCTGTGATGATGACAAAAAACCTACTCTGTCAGCAATTTTGAAATATACAATAAACTATTACGTATAGTCACCATTCTGTACAATCGAGTTCTAAAACTTAATCTTCCTCACTAACTGAAACTTTGTACCCTTTGACCAACATCTTGCCATTTTTCACGCTGCAGGCCCAGCCTCTGGTAACCACCATTCTACTCTCTGCTTATATGAGTTCAATTCTTTTAGCTTCTCCATATGAATAGGATTATGTGCAATTTGTCTTTGTGTGTCTGGCTTATTTCCCTTAGCATAATGTCCCCCAGGTGCATCCATGTTGTGGTAAATGCCAGAATTTCCTTCTTTTTTAAAGACTGATTAGTATTCTATTGTGTATATATATTACATTTTAAAACTCCATTTGTTTATTGATGGGCACCTATGCAGTTTCCCTATCTTACCTCTTTGACACAATTTCAGTTCCTCTGGATATATATACAGTAGAGGGATTGCTGGATCACATGGTAATTCTACTTTTAGTATTTTGAGAAACCTCCATACTGTTTTTCATAGAAGATTAACTAACTTACATTCCCATCAACAGTGTATAAGCATCCCCTTTTCTCCGCATCCTTGCCAACACCATTATGTTTTGACCCTTTAGTAACAGCCATTCTAATAGGTTTAAAATGATATCTCGCTATGGTTCTAATTTACATTTGCCTGATAATTAGTGATATTGAGCATTTTTTCATATATCCGTTGTCCATTTGTATGTCTTCTTTTGAGAAGTGTCTTTTCAGTTTCTTTGCCCATTTTAGAATCAGTTTATTTGTTCTCTTGCTATTGAGTTGTTTGAATTCCTTATATATTTTGGATATCGATCACTTATCAGATGTATGGTTTGCAAACATCTTCTCCCAATCCATGGACTGTCTCTTCACTCTGTTTCCTTTGCTGTGCAGAGACATTTTACTTTGATGCAATCCCATTTTTCTATTTTTGCTTTTGTTGTCTATACTTTCATGGTCAAATTTTAAAAAAAATCGCCCACACCAGTGTTGTGGTGCTTTTTCCTTGTATTTTTTTCCTAGTCCTTTTACAGTTTCAGGTTCTGTGTTTAAGTTTTTAATTCACTTTGAGTTTATTTTGTATGTGGTTGTGTAGTCTTTTCTCCTCTTTAAAACTAACCTTTTAGGCAGGGCGCGGTGGCTCACGCCTGTAATCCGAGCACTTCGGGAGGCCGAGGCAGGTGGATCACTTGAGGTTGGAGTTCGAGACCAACCTGGCTAACATGGTGAAACCCCATTTCTACTAAAAAATACAAAAATTAGCTGGGCGTGATGATGCACGCCTGTAGTCCCAGCTACTCGGGAGGCTGAGACACAAGAACCGCTTGAACCAGGGAGGCAGGGTTTGCAGTGAGCTGAGATCAAACCACCGCACTCCAGCCAAGGCAACCAAGCAGGACTCTGTCTCAAAAATAAATAAATAAATAAAATGACCTTTCAATCTGTATTTTCCTTCTTACTTTACATGTATTTCTTAAATAATCTTATTCCCCTACAAGATTATTTATTTTTCAGTAATAATAAATATTTTTTATTATTTAAAAATATTTTTATTTTATGCACGTGAGTTTAGAGTTGACTAATCGTCACTACAATTCATTTTTAAAACATTTCCATCACCCACAAGGAGATTAGCTCCTTCTGGCTTTTCACTCACACATATATCTAATGATTCTTGCAAGCTATGTCTCTGTACTTGAAGTGCTAGACATGGTCTGTTTGCTCCTTCCTCTAGATTCTCCATCTTTTCCTCTTTATTCTCTGCTCCCGGAGTCTAATACATGTGGCTTATACCATCAAATACGCACACATGCCTTCTGACTTTTAGTCGGGCTCAACCAATGAGGGATCCCATTAAGAGACTGGATGAAGGAATGAATGTAAGTCAGTGTTCCTCCTTCTCTGGGAAATCACGTCTTGCCTGTGTTTCTCCACATAAGATGATGGGTACTCACAAAGTGTGTTGCTTTAGCAGTTTCCAGCAGGGATTTTCTGCCTTTGTCCCTTCAGACCAAGGGCTGGTGATAAAGCAGTTGCTGCTACCCTTGGTTCCAGCATAATTCCTAGTAATGCTCATATGTTCCATCCATACCTTTGTAATTAGTCCCTTTGTAAATAATCCCTTCCTGAACTATCCTAATTTTAAAGTGGCATCTGTTTCCGGTTGGAAGCCCAGTGGATATGCTTTACTCTCCCTACCACACCAACACAAACACAGGACCAATATTTTAACTTATTACTGGAAATCTCAATTTCAGCAGGGGAAGGTGGTGTTCTCAGGCTCTCTCTGAGGTTCTTCCTATGCTTTAAGTTCTTTTCTATTGATAGAATCAGTACTACTCACTTTCCTTTCTGACTGGTCTTTGGTATTGATTTGTGAAACTTAAGGTGATTTTATTTTCTCACTTATTTTATTCAATGTTGGGGCTTCGTTTGTAGTTTTATGTGTAAACTGGATTTTTCCTTTGAGCATTTTATTTCTGAATTTTTCAGAAGTAAATCTCTCTTAGTCAAACATACAAAATACAAACATAGAAATGTTCATCTTTGTTTTAGTTAGGGTGGACGCTTCTCTCAGTTGGATACTCTCAGTTGACTTTCTGCTCCCTAAACTGTTAAGATGTTTGACAATTGCTTTGGTTTCGATTTGTTGGTATGAAACAGCATTTTTCATCTGACTGACATCACAAAATTGTGTATTTCATTTTCAAGTATAAACTCATCTTTACTGTATGCTTCACTTACATTTTTAAAAAATCAGAATAAAATAGTCTCTGCTAACCAGAGAAGTTGGTGTGCAGAACGTGCTTTATTTTCAAGTTGACTGTTTAGAGTGGAGAAGATATGTAGGAGGGGGTTGGTGGAACTGTCACTATTAGAACTATTACCAGTCACTGCTCTGACTGAAGCAGGAGGGTATTTGATTAACTGACTACAAGAGAGAGTTCAATGATTCATGAGGCATCAGAAAGAGCTATTTTTAAAAGTAATTTTTCGAATAGTGCTTAATGAGGGACATAACTGGAAATTGGGAAATCTTAAGTGTATTTAAGAGTCTTGATCATATATTAGGTTGTGGTGTTCAAACAAGTTATAACATGCTAAAAATAAGTGACTTTTAAATTCATATTTGAATGGAACTAATATAACAATTAGCTATGTAGTTTAAATAATGCCATATGAGCTACTTTGATTAACGTCAGTAGGAAAATAGTTTCCATTGAAACCTTTCACGTTATGGCTACTATACTCAATTTTTAAAAATCAACGAATATTTTTGAGTCCCTGACTTTGAGGCATATAAAATATCATGGAAATATCTATTGCATGCCAATTAGGTGGATGGCAAGAGGAACATTTAGTATAGTCATTAGGAGGCAGTGGGACTTGTTTTACATTATGACAGTGACACTTTTCTCTCTTGGCTGAAATCCCTATTCAGAAAGCTGGGGAAATCACTCCAGATGTGTCTGTCATTCTAAATTCTAGCTTGCAGGCACTCTAGCTATTTTAAATGAAAATGATTTCTCATTAGAACAGAAGAAAAATCAACAAAAATCTCTTTCTTTGTGCCCTAAA